GAAGATGAAAGTGAAGACCCTCCGCCAAGAAAAGTTGTGACAAAGAAACAGGTAGACACCGAAGTGACCTCGGCTTTTAAGGAAGCAATGAAACAATGTTCAGAAACGGTACAAAAATTAGCTAGTATTCCTTGCGAACAAGAAAAAGAACGCGATTCAACATCACTTTTGTTTGAAAACCTGGCAAAAAAATTTTCTAATGCCAATATATCCCAAGAAAATCTGCGCATTATTGAATGCAAAATTTTTGCTTTAGTTTATAAAGAACTAAAAGAGTCAAGTGGTTAATTAATTAAAGACGGTACTTTTTGTAATAAAAAATGGTTCTCCAAGTACAAATGGATGTATAACATCTAATATTTATTGAATTAATATGTAACATTAACAATTAAAATATAACATCTAATATGTATTGAATTAAATGTCCTTACATTACAGTTTAGACTATTTTTTTTTGTTTCTTTTTTTAATGTTAAATAATTGTTTATAAAAGTTCTTATACCATGTCCCCACCAAAAAGTTAACCATCTCGAATCGAACTTAACCACATCACTAACTATTGGTGTCCACACTGCGGTTTGAGGTTTATAAAACAGTACAAATGTAAAGAACAGTGTTCGGACAACCAAACCTCGATTCAGGACTAAATCGCTGCAAAAATCGGACCAAAAACAAATTTTCCGTACTAGATTGAATTTTTTATTTTTGTTTCTGACATTAATTGTTTGACTAAAATATTTTCTATTCATGCAAAATAAGAACGCGAAGCAATGCAAGGATAATATGTTACATATTTAGGTAATTTTTAGCATTTTCTATGAAGTAGAACGTATCTAACACTTAATTTTTTTTAAGGCAAACCTTTGCTACTTTATATAAATTTCATTCTACATATATTTTTTAACAACTTAAGTAAAGTTCTGCATCCGCCAGTTTGTACAGCCATACGTCAAAAAATAACGAAGTTAATTTATTGACGCATTGCTATGAAAGAGTTACTTTTCAACAGTGAGATTTGGCTACTTTTCAATTTTTTTACTGAAAACGATGGTGAACACTCAAAAAACGTCCCCAAGAGGGGCATAACATGAATGAAAAAAACGGAATAGATTTGAAGTCCAGCGGAGTAGAGGAGTAGATTTCAATTTGTTTTAAAAACCGGATAAATCTAATCTGATTTTAGTTGAGTCCAAACACTAGTAGGGAACGAATTCTTTACATTTCAACGCTAATGACCCACAGATGGCGGGAAAACACAGGGTTGTATCAGACTTTCGACGTGGTTTCGAGTTGGTTAGCTTTTAACCGTCTCAGTGAAATGGTTAAGTGCTGTAATTTTTATATGGCGAAACTACGCTAAATCAAGTGGGTTATAGGGATAACCAACTCAATAGCCATAACCACGTGGTTAGCGCCGGTGGGGACATGGTATTAGAAGCTATAAAACTGTATACTTAACATTTTTCTAGAAATTCTAATAAAGCTTCGAATTTTCATGTAACTGGAATTTTTATAATTTTCGCACAAAGTTTGAAATTTGGATTAGTATGGCTTCTAAGAACTTTTATAAAAAACTATTTAATATTAAAAAAAGAAACAAAAGAAAAATAGTCTAAACTGGTCAAAATGTTAAGGTGCAATCGTTTTATCACAGGCTTTATATATTTGAAATTAGTACAAAATTGGAAAAAGTTAAGTTTTGCCTTTTTTCCTCTTTTGTGTTCAAGTACAAATCGATGTATAACATCTAAAATGAATTCAATTAAACTTATAATAATAATAGAAATAAGTAAAAGATAAACACGGTCAGCTTGGGTAATGTTTAAGTCAAACGTTGTTACTCATCAAATATTACTAAAAATTGTTATTATTACATCATAATCAAGTGATTTGTTTTACGAAAAATTAAGGATAGTCGAAGCATCTCTTGAATCCTTCAATGGAAAATTACAATTTTCAGCTCAAATCACTTGAATAAGAGTCTGAAGAAATATTGGAGAGGCAAGAACGTTTGGGGTAAACCTTATTGAAGGGCACCGTCTACATATGTGTACATTTTCGGCCAAAATAATAGTAACAAAATTCAGAGCAGTGTTGCTAGACACTTATGTTTATTTATTTGCTTTTAATAACTTTTATTTAAATTATAGTTCGATCTATAACAGAAACCACGAGTAGTCCCTGTTATAGATCGAACTATAATTAAAATGAAAATTATTAAAAATAAATAAATAAACATAAGTGTCTAGCAACACTGCTCTGAATTTTGTTACTATTATTTTGACCGAAAATGTACACATATGTAGACGGTGCCCTTCAATAAGGTTTACCCCAAACGTTCTTGCCTCTCCAATATTTCTTCAGACTCTTATTCAAGTGATTTGAGCTGAAAATTGTAATTTTCCATTGAAGGATTCAAGAGATGCTTCGACTATCCTTAATTTTTCGTAAAACAAATCACTTGATTATGATGTAATAATAACAATTTTTAGTAATATTTGATGAGTAACAACGTTTGACTTAAACATTACCCAAGCTGACCGTGTTTATCTTTTACTTATTTCTATTATTATTATAAGTTTAATTGAATTCATTTTAGATGTTATACATCGATTTGTACTTGAACACAAAAGAGGAAAAAAGGCAAAACTTAGCTTTTTCCAATTTTGTACTAATTTCAAATATATAAAGCCTGTGATAAAACGATTGCACCTTAACATTTTGACCAGTTTAGACTATTTTTCTTTTGTTTCTTTTTTTAATATTAAATAGTTTTTTTATAAAAGTTCTTAGAAGCCATACTAATCCAAATTTCAAACTTTGTGCGAAAATTATAAAAATTCCAGTTTCATGAAAATTCGAAGCTTTATTAGAATTTCTAGAAAAATGTTAAGTATACAGTTTTATAGCTTCTAAGAACTTTTATAAAAAATTATTTAACATTAAAAAAAGAAACAAAAAAAAAATAGTCTAAACTGGTCAAAATGTTAAGGTGCTATCGTTTTATCGCAGGCTGTATGTAAGTACATTTAATTCAATACATATTAGATGTTATATTTTAATTGTTAATGTTACATAATCATTCAATAAATATTAGATGTTATACATCCATTTGTACTTGGACAACCAATTTTTATTACAAAAAGTATCGTCTTTAATTAATTAATCACTTGACTCTTTTAGTTCTTTATAAACTAAAGCAAAAATTTTGCATTCAATAATGCGCAAATTTTCTTGGGATATATTGGCATTGGAAATTTTTTTGCCAGGTTTTCAAACAAAAGTGATGTTGAATCGCGTTGTTTTTCTTGTTCGCAAGGAATACTAGTTAATTTTTGTACGCTTTCTGATCATTGTTTCATTGCTTCCTTAAAAGCCGAGGTTACTTCGGTGTCTACCTGTTTCTTTATCACAACTTTTCTTGGCGGAGGGTCCTCACTTTCATCTTCATCCACGATTGTAGACATGGAGCAATCCACAAGTCTTCGTACACAATATCCCATTCAACATTTCCCACCGTTCTACAAAAAATACAAAGAACACAAACAAGGGGGGAAAGTTTAGTTATTTGTACAACGATTTAGGGGTGGGTGGCGGAGGGGGCAGGGCGTGGCCCCCAAATCCGCCCGCCTAAACGAAAGAGGATGGACCGATCTTTATGAAAAGTCACCACTCCCCATAATCGTTGTACAAATAACTAAACCGTACCCAAAAAAGGCCTTAATTGAATAATAGGCAGTTTTCATGTATTTTAAAAAGAGATTCCATATTTTTCATATCATATCACAGTACATACATAAGAATACCCAATGTGCACAACCGTGGGTTGGAAATGAATGTATGTACATAAGTGTGTATGTACTTATGTATTTACTTATGTATGTATGTATATATACGGATGCTTTAAACAACACTATTTATAGTAAGCGCATACTTACGGTCTAGAATCAGTGTAGTTGTCCAAAAATGTTAGCATTTCCATATATTTCCATCTTTTAACAGGATTGGGAGCGCCACTTCCAGACGCAAGGAGCTCAGAACGCTTTCGTTTCTTATGCAGCGTTTTAGCTGCATTTAAAATGCAACATTTAGCACTTTCGAACATATTTTTTCGAAGAACGTTCATGCTATCGCATTTAGCAAATGTACATTTACGCGAGTTCGAAACCGTATGCTTTTGACAAACGGCCGTGTTCCTGTCGCTTATTCAGATCCGTATCTATCACGATCAATTCGCACAGAAGATAATGTGCAAAAAACCCTACTGAAAAGGGAAAAAGAAATTTTAAACAAAAAGTTCAATACAAAAACTTTAATTGTTTTAACCATACCCGAAAATTTGTTTGTGTATATTTTCATTTGTCGGTGCTATCAATTGAAATATCCTCAATTAAATAGGAAAAAACCCAGAGTTGATCACTAATTGAGCCGGATATCTATCAGTTTCATATCGATGTTGAATTCGTGCAACTTTTCTTTTTCAAAATAATGTAAAATAATAAATTAAATCTCGATCCGCGATCACTGAAACGCAGCTAGCAACTGCATACGCGAAAAAGCAATGTTGCCACATTTTCTCATTAAACCATGTTCGAATCGTGGAAATTTTGGAAGATCACAGGGTTGCTTTTGGCATTTAGATTCTTAATGCAAAAATAGAGTTGCATTTAGGTGACGAATTTTGTATGGATAAATGTAAATTTAGAGTAGCATTTAGAGCTAAATGCGCTAAATGTGCTTTTACGCGTAAGCAAAAACAGCCCATTATATGTACATATCTCGGAGCCGATTCCAGCGCTTGCGACATGCATCCGCTAGTAGAAATATTGTTTATTAATAAGTATGTTCCAGCTACTTAACGATTTGCAGGTTTTTACAAGAAACTGTTCCCGTACGCCACCTTCCATAAAGTTTATTAAAGGCGGAACAGGGTTTCCTGTAAATCCTGGAGTACCTGGAGCAGGCCTAATACTTATCTCATGCAAATCACTTGTATATATGTACATACACATGTAAATTCATGTCTACTTCCGGCTCAAATTCAAGGACTGGGCAACTGATTCCCATATTTCCATTTTCTTGTGCACATTTTTGTATACGCGATGTAATAAGTTAAATAAACAATCATTTTGTTTAATTTGTTCGATGAGAATCTCGTTGATATCCATTATTTTGTTTGGCTACTATAAACTAAACAACCGAAGAAACAGCTGATTTCGTCGCGGTTACCATGTTTAAAAAAAACTAACCTATATTTAGAAATGGGGAAATAATAAGAATATATATATAAAACAAAGACAAATTTTTATAAATCATCTTATTTTAAGCCAGATTAAAATAATCAATTATTATATTTTCAAACCAACACAAAATATTCCTGTCAATTTGTTGTTTTCTTCTAAAACTTTGAAACAAAAAAAAACTGCGGCCACCTTTGGCAAGCACTGCCGCATTCGCCCAGCAGTGGCGATAGAATTAAATCTATCGCCACGAAACGCCGCCGAGCGAACTAGGCATTTCGCATTGGCTGTGTTAAATTTCATATACCGGCGGGTGTTCTAATTTTGACAGCGGCAATTTCGCTGTGGTGAGTTCGCCGTTCGCCGGCATTGTGTTTCCACGGTCATTCTTTATTAATTTTAAGTCAAGCAAAACTGTGTGGCAGATTAAGAATATTCAGATTTTTAACTCCAGAATAGTCCTGAAATTCTTTGAATTCTTCTTTTCGTTTTGCACTATGAGCGAAAAATGCGTACACTTCTCGAGCGAATTTCTCGATGTCTAATGGTAGCATTTTGCAACCGCGTGACGCACATAAATGCAGCGAGTGGCAGACACACCTCATCAAAAAAATATTGTGATTAACTTATTTGAACCTCGAAAAAAGTCCAGTTAATTCCCCAGTCATAACACTTGCATTGTCAGTTGCCAATCCAATAACGTTTTCGAATGGTATGTTGAGGCTTAAAATATGGTTTTGAATGGCCAGAAATATGGACTCAGCTGAGCCCGATTTTAAATGGATGAGACCAAAAAAAAATATCTGCAGTTTTCTGTTGCAATTTATCGAAATATCTCGCAACTAAAGTTAACGCTTTACATGTACTCACATCAGTTGTTTCATCTACAATCAATGAAAATTTGTGTACTTTTAAAGTCCCACTTACTTTATGGCGTTTTCGTTTCTACAAACAATGTTGTCTTTTCATTGCCCGCTTCTTAGGTTTTGTGCTTAGAGGGCAATGAGAAGGTAACTTTTTTCGGTAGAAATGAAAGCGCCATTACTTTTTGCTTGGGCCGATAACGTGTCTTTAATAATGTAGGATGCTTTAGTTCGCTTGCATTTTATGCACGTCGCAATTTTTGAATTCGGAAAACATTTTGCGAACAGGTCAGGCAAATGATCAAAAATTGATATGGGCAAATGGTGAGCCAGTACAAACATCACTAAAAAATCTCTGCAGTCCGTATGTCGTCCACACGTGCCTGATCCTTTTTCGCCTGAAGATTTGTCTTGTGCAACGGTGTCTCTTCATGTCGACGCAAATGAGGTGCTAAATTACACAAAAATTTCTCACATAAAACGCAATATGCTTTGTCTTGCCTCTGCTCGAGCCATGGGAACATCCTCAGCCATTGCTATCGAAAATAACGTTTGCGCTTTTTTGAGGAGGATGGATGCGGTCTAAAAACAAAAAAGTGGTATTATTACTATTGAACTGTTACATTAGCACATATTTAAAATTAGCTTACCCTTCTTCGAACTCGGACGAACTTATGACTTCGTTGCTCACACAAGTGTTTTTAGTTATTTTAACAAACCTGAAAAATTCTAAATACCAATGAATGATATTTCATAATAGTAATGCTTTAGCTATCACAAGAATACTTGCCTGTCCATTAATATTGCTGAAAAAAATCGCAAGCAAGCGTATCTACTTCTGAATTAAAAATTTATAAAACATATGCTTTGCAATTTTACAATGGAATGACGCTCAAAATCAAAATGGTTGCTCAGTTTAATATGAAGCAATGTTGCCAACCTATAGGTAAAGCGGCTTTTTGGGTGACAAGATGCCACCTTTTTTTAAAACAAGTTAATAATAATTTTGAATCATAACTAATTGTAAATAAATGTTACAGAAATATTGGTTTGAACTCATATGAAAATGTATCTAAATTTGTACTGAGCCAGAAAAAGAACTATCCCGCATTATTTAAGGCTAAAATGTATCCATTTGGATACATTTGTATTAAAACGGCAACACTGGTCCTTATTCTTCTTCAACAGGGACTTTACAGTTTTCACTGAAGACTCAATGAAGCCATTGCTTTGCGGGTAACGTGGTGATGAGGTTATGTGTTGAAACCCCCATTGTCTGGCGAACTCCGCGAAAGCTGATGGATTAACACGCTGGAACGGTGGTCCGTTATCCGATCTGACGGTTTTGAAGTTTGGCTATCTCTGGATATCGCGAGAAATAGTCGCTGACGATTATGTAGCGGCTGGAACTGTGTAAAAATAAGTCGATCCCTATGATTTGCCAAGGTCGCTCCGGTGTCTCGGTGCTCATCGAGTTTTCATGTCGAAGTGTGGTATTTTCGATGCAGATGGAGCATTTTCTTATATGGTTTTCGATATCGTTTCCACAGCCTGGCCACCAAATAGATTGTTTAGCCCTAGTCCTACATTTGACAATTACCAAATGACCGGCGTATATCTTATCTAAAACTTCTTGGCGAAGCTCCGCAGGAACTTGAATCTTTGTAGGATTGGTGTGAGCTCGTCCAAATTTTTCGACATAAAGATGGCTATTAAAGGGTTTTGGTCGGTCTCTATGCTGAACTTAATTCCCGTGAGTAGCTCTGGAAATTTTACCACTGCCGCCCAAGTAATCGCTAACGCCTCCTTCTCTATCTATACATAGCCTCGTTCTGCCGGCGAGAGTGATCTTGACGCGTACGCTATTGGACGCAGTATGTCCCCTTCGTCGATTTGTAGCAAAACTGCTCCCAGGCCGTAGGATGATGCGTCGGTCGAAAGAATAGTTTACGACGGAGCGAAAAGCTTGAGAACCGGCGTTTGGATAAGCATCTCTCTCAGCGATCGGAATGATATTTCCTGGCTCCTTCCCCATTGGAATTCTGTCGTGCTACGTAGTAGCTCATTGAGCGCTTGCGTCAAATCTGACAGGTGTGTAACGAACTTACCAGGGAAATTGACCTTTCCAAGGAATCTTCTCAACTCAGTAACCGTTGTTGGTGTTGGATATTTCTCGATGGCCGATATCTTTGAACTGTTTGGACGAATTCCCCGCGCGTCGACGACATGACATAAACACTTCAGGGACTAGTACCGATTTCACACTTTTCCCTGTTCAATGTAGCGCCATTCTCTTTTAATCTGCTTGAAACTCGACGTAAAATATCATCGTGCGATTTGGAGTCGGAGCCGAAGACTTGAATATCATCAATTTTGGCACCCTTGATATCGCGCAGTATATATTGCATTCGTTTTTGATAAATCTCCGGTGCGGAAGAAATGCCAAAAGGCATTCTCAAAGTACGGTACCTACCAAACGGTGTTAAAAACGTCGTCAATAATTGTGATGCCACGTTTAATTTAACTTGCCAAAACCCCGAGTTGGCGTCCAATTGGAGAAATGTTTTGCCCCTGCTAGTTGTGCTAAAGAATGGTCGGCTACCGGCATTGGGTGTATTTCCCTCTCAACGCCTGCATTTAGCTTAGTTAGGTCGGCGCAGAGTCGAATATCGCCATTACTTTTGGTAGTAATTACCATTGGGGAGCACCAGGGTGTGCGCTCGTCTACTTCTTTTATTACCTTCACTTTAAGCATTTCGTCTAGTTTCGACTTCACAGCATCGTGAACCGCTACGGGTACCCTACGTACTGCAAAAATCTGAAAAGGCATTACGTAATTTTTTAGTTTGATGTTACATTCGAAGTCTTTCAAACAACTGAGCCCATTGAAAAGAGATGGAAACGCCTTCGCTATACCAACTGTGGATTTTAGTGTTAAGTGTACGATCTTCGCCGTCTATGTATGCAATTGCATTTTTTGTAGCCAACCGTAACCTCATACTCGTATCCAAGCTTAGCAAATGTTTCTACAGCCCTTCGATGACATAAATGTTGCTTTTTATTTTATTTTGCTGAAATTTTATGGCTGCTTGAAAAATTCCCTTTACCAGTAGAGTTTTTCCGTCTGGTCCCGAATAAGCTTTGTCGGACCTGTGTAGCTTTGGCTTAGAGAACTTGTTTGTGTAAGTTTCGTATGAAATCGCGTCAATTGGCGAACCAGTGTCTATCATAAAATTAAGATTAACTTGATTTACATATATTCCCACTTACCAAGTGTGGAGCTCGCTTATGCTATTCACAGAGAGCATTCCCAAAAATTCATTTTTAACCGAAGTTAAATCATGAAATGGTTGATTCTGTGTATATTTTTCATTTAGTTTGACCTACATACACTTGCGAATTGATTCAATTTGTGACATTTGTTACACTTCTTCCCCTTCGCCGGACAATTGTTCTGCTTCACGGCTGAGAGCCACCCCAAATATATTTGATCTGCGGCTTCTTACTTCCTGTGTTATCTTTATCTTTTTTGGTATGTTTGACTCTGCGCCGAGTCTATGTATAGAAGAGTTGATGAGATCTACCTGTTGTTTTCTCACTGCTTGGTGTTGTCTTACTTCGGTGATAGCTTTTTCCAATGTCAAATCGGTCAATAGCTGCAGTTTTTCGGACAATCGGCGGTCGCGCACTCCAACAACAATCTTTTCGTGAATCATTTCATCGCGCAGGGCACCGTAATTACAGTTTTTCGGAAAGTATGTACAAATCAGTAATGAAGTCTTCTATAAGCTCACCTTCAAGTTGACTTCAAAGGTTAAACTTAGCCCGCTCATAGATGACGTTGGTTTTGATGACAAAAAGATTTATAAAGGCTCGCATTACCTCAGAATAGTTTTCTTCGTTTGCTGACGATAAGGGAAAAGATAAGAAAATGTTATCCGCCTGGTCCCCCATTAAGTAAATCAGCGTGTGTATTTGCTCCTTTCCCAAAGCTTTGTCGAGTTTATACGCTATTCTAAATCTCTCAAACCGTCGCTGCCACCTAGGCCATTCCGCAGGGTTATTGAAAGTAAATGGATCTGAAGAACGCATTGTAAAGCTGCTGCTTCCCAGTGTTACCGCAGGCATGGATTGGTTGGAATCCGGCATCTTGAAATTCGTAGTAATCTCCTATTACTAATGTAGCTAGGTAGGTCAGTTATTTTTGCCGCTGCTTTATTGCTTCACTTCATGTTTGTACTTAGGTACATCGGTTACAAAGTAAATAACTTATACACATGTTAAAGAGAACGTAAGAGTAACTAAGAGCAGTGCAGATAGTGTGTATACTCCACAGGTACATATTTATATATAACAAGTA